GGTCCCTAAGTCGTATCGGTCCGGAAAAAGTTGATGTTCTTCAAGAAAGGTGACAACGCTCTCTTGAAGAACTACAGACCGATTTCCCTTCTGAGCCGCGTCTACGTGCTGTTTTCGAGAGTCATTACGAATCGTCTCGCGCGCAGACTTGACGACTTCCAGCCTCCCGAACAAGCCGGTTTCCGAAAGGGCTTTAGCACCATAGACCACATACATACCCTTCGGCAAGTTGTACAGAAGTCCGAAGAGTACAATTTGCCACTATGTCTGGCGTATGTGGACTATGAGAAAGCCTTTGATTCCGTCGAAATTTGGGCGGTGCTGCAGTCCCTTCAGCGGTGCCAAGTTGACTGTCGGTATATCGAAGTGTTGAAGTGCTTGTACAGTACGGCTACGATGGCTATCCGAGTACAGAACCAGAGTACGAAACCTATCCAATTGCAGAGAGGTGTAAGACAGGGTGACGTCATATCCCCGAAACTCTTCACCGCTGCATTGGAAGACGTTTTCAAGCTTCTGGACTGGAAAGGATACGGTATCAACATCAATGGCGAGTACATCACTCACCTTCGATTTGCCGACGATAGAGTCCTTATGGCAGAATTGCTGGAGGACCTAAGCACTATGCTCAATGACCTCAATAGTGTTTCCCAACGGATAGGTCTTAAGATGAACATGGACAAAACAAAGATCATGTTTCATGTCACACCTATGCCGGTACTTGTTGGGAGCACTAAGCTCGAAGTTGTTGACGAGTATGTTTACCTGGGACAAATAGTCCGACTAGGTAAGTCCAACTTCGACCGAGAGGTCAATCGACGGATTCAACTCGGCTGGGCAGCGTTCGGGAAGCTACGACACATCTTCTCGTCAGATATACCTCAAAACCTTAAAACGAAATTTTACAACCAGTGCGTGTTGCCAGTGATGACTTACGGAACTGAGACGTGGTCCTTCACTGCTGGCCGTATGAGGAAGCTCAAGGTCGCTCAGCGAGCTATGGAGAGGGCTATGCTCGGAGTTTCTCTGCGTGATAAACTTAGGAATGAGGATATCCGCAGTAGAACCAGAGTGACCGACATAGCCCAACGGATTATTAAGCTGAAGTGGCAGTGGGCCGGCCATATAGCTCGAAGAACCGACAACCGATGGGGAAGAAAGGTTCTCGAGTGGCAGCCTCGTACCGGTAGGCGAAGTGAAGGGCGTCCCCCCACGAGATGGAGTGACGACCTGGTAAGACATGCAGGAAGTCGATGGATGCAGGTGGCTCAGGACCGTGTTTTGTGGCATTCTTTGGGGGAGGCCTATGTTCAGCAGTGGACTTGTGAAGGGCTGTAATGATGAATGATGATGATGATGATCAATGTTTCGCTGGAATAACCAGGAGATTCTGGAACTTGCTGCTTGTCTGAAGTATAGACGGGCTTATTAACCGAAGGAACATTTGCATATATAATTTTATCTTTGTTCTTGTGGTTAAAACCAAATGTGTTTGTAAGACACAAGTAACAATAATTTTCTTGGTTGGATGGTTCCCCTTATGTCATTAGCATATTAAAATTCAAAGATGTTTCCACCTGTGGCCCAGCAGCTTAGCGTTCTTCTACGTCTTTCATAAATACGTGGGGAACCCACGTTTTGTGCTGGTGAGAAACTGATATTCTAAAATAATAAAAATGTGGTTCTTTGAGTAATTCCGATATAAGATATCCTTTCTTAGAAATAATAATATCACCAAAAACTTTACAAAAACGGTCTGACTGTACTTGCTTTACACATCTTTTTTAACATTTTAAAAACAATTATTTATTTCACTAAACACTACACTGCATCAAAATTTTAGAATGAATTCAGAAGCAACTTGTAGTTAACCTGAAAATAAAATGTAGATAACTTAAGTTTTTGACGTTGTAACGCTCCCTCCCCCCTTTTCTTCTATATATACTTATACTTGTATTTCTTTAGAGTCTACATCTATAAGATATATAAATATATCTAATTAACGTAACCAATATATTAATCGTACATTGATCTTTCTAAAGGTTTAAATATAGGCCGTTTAATAAATTTATGGCGTGATCGTCTTAGTTAGGACCCTTATTTACGTTGTGTTTGTATAGTAACTTAGTTCCTTTAGGTGTATCTTGGAAGAATGAATATTCACGAGAGCAATCGAAAGCTGTTGGTAGCGTCTTTTAAGCTAAAGAACCCCGTTCACGAAGACAGAGCTCAAAAAGGATAGGAACAATAAATTGTCCCTATTCCACTTGTATCTACCCTGTTCACAACAGTCAATTCCTTATTAATTAATCCCTTCCCGCTGGGAAAAGGCTCACAATATTTATATCAAATACCAGATACAAGGGCTTCGCTCTTCCACATTTAAAAAAAAATGTGGAGAAGGTACACGGCTCCACACACGCCGTGCACGGTGAGCGCCAACCATTTTAATGCGCTCCCACCGTAGGGTACGCTAAGTTGGGAACTGGACCGTAGTCCACAGCAAAATAACTGGCGAAACAGTAAAAGAAGGCTTGACCCCTTGATAATGCGTCAGCACAAACATCGACCGAAGTCGCGCATGTCAATACGTGTAAACGCCATACAGAATACGATCAAATCCAGCCACAGTGAATGTACGTCACACGGGTTAGACAACAATAGGCACACTGGCCATAAAAATCCCTCCGTGAGCGCCACCACCTGCCAGACCGCCGTTCCTGCAGACGTGATGTAAGTGTAAGGCATCACCACCAATTGCATGTTCAGCACGGCCAATTGGCCACAGAGCGTGTCATGAGTCTACCGCTCACCTCAAGGGAATGGGGTCCCACATTGCGCGGCTTTTGGCGCATGAGATCCTCCTCAGCTTCTCCCTCCAGCTACCACCCGCATGAGGTCGACACCTATGCTCCACCAACCAATATAATGGCAGATATAGCCATTAGGTAGTGATAAGATATTAGTAATAATTCGCCATCAGAAAGGGTTTGTGTCACTGACGTTGAGTATATGCATTTTCGATCATGTTTGTCTCACCCACCAACAAGGTGCCTTCAATCTTTCAAAGGTGGGAACTTTATAGAGATATATTATTAAGTTGTTATATAAAACATCATGGAGGGCAGACAGTCTGCAGCCCCGCAATGAAGGGACCCGACTTGGGCAAAGCTACTTAGGTTGTGAGTCAAACCAAGACGCAGAGAGCGCCATTGAGAATAGCGACCCGCCAAACAACCATCGTAGAGACGCAATGCTACAGAATGCAACAAGCATCAATACGACTATCGTCGGGCTTATACCATCCCAAGGTCCCCCATACAGTCTCAGCAGACAGCACCACCCGCAAAATACCACTAAAGTGTCACAGTAACACGCCACTAAGACGTCAGTAGCCAAAACTCCACGTATCATAGCACTATTGCACTAAAACACGGAGTTGAGTATGCTTGCTGCACTTAAAAGTTTTACCAAACACACTCACCCTAATCCAAAAGATAGCCGACGTATCATAACGCTTTGCGCTAAGACGTCGCCCACAAAGGGTAGGGGTGTACGATGTTCACGAGCAAGTCGTATTGCTACAACAAACCCGCTTACCACCGACACTAAGATGATATGTCTAGGACACATCGGTTAGCGAGTCCAAGTTTACCTCGGTCTCGGAGGCTACGAAGCAACCTACAAGCCACTATAATAATCCTTTTAAAGTCCCATTTCTTTCAATATAATGCTTTTACATATTTGAGACCTTCCACATATTTGCTTTATTTCATAGACCATACTTTTGTATGTCTTATTCATATGGGACTTCAAGTTATAACTCTGCTATCATAATGCATATGCATCATAGAGACCTTCTATATTAATGCTTTGGTTTGTTAGACCTTAGTATGAAAATCCCTAATATAGGACTAGTAATTGTGCAACCTTAGTACTAGCAGTCGGTCAGCCGACCACCCCATATAATATATGTACACCCATATAAGGGAATATTACAAGAACACGTTCATCAACTTAAAATTTTGATCCATTTTTTCTAATTATATTACAAATGTTATTTATCTTTATTATTGCAATATAATCGACTTGTATTTATATGATTTAATATATTTTGAATATTTTAAGCAGGTTTTTAATAAATTTAGAGATTTTTAGAGACAATTTATGCGTTTACTAATACTATAATATTCAATATTCCAAATGAATATATTTTAACTTTATGCTTATTATTTGCATTTAATTGTATTAAATATAATTTCTATGACATTTTTTAATGTTTTTATAATGAATTTAATTATTATTTATTAATAATAATTATGAGGTGTCACAACGTCAAAAAAATAGAAAATAGCAAATAATAATTATGAGGTGTCACAACGTCATAATTAAACGTAAAAACATAAATTTTTACGTTTAATTACTGCAACTAAATAACATCATATGAAATTCACTGGAAGGACATATATTTTTTTTGTGAACTAGTGTTATTTTTGTAATAAAACGGTTTTTAATAGAATAAGGTGACAAACAAGTACAGTCCACCTGATGGTAAGTGGATGCAGTAGCCTATAGACATTTACTAGTTATCATACATACAAAATTACAACATGCAGATGCGTTGAGGACTTAGATGGAATGGTTTATTTCCAGTGAAAATGGTCGTCAATTTAATCCAATTCATTAATCCGGCTCTTTTGCAATAAATAAAATGAGCTTACTTCAGCTGCTGTGTTCTGGTCTGAAAGTTTTTTTTATAGAATAAGGATGACAAACGAGCACACAGTCCACCTGATGGTAAGTGGTTGCTGCGGCCCATAGACATCTACATCTATCTTCGTTTGCGAATTAAAATGCAGATGCGTTGTCAGCCGTAAGGACTAAGATATAATGCCTCTTCTCTCTCTTCTCTCCTCTGAAGGCTGAAGGAGCCGCTCACTATCAGGCGAACTGTAAGTTTGTTTGTCACTGTAATTTCATAATATAAATCATCTTTTCAGATCAAAAGCATTGCATCAATGCTTGTCATCGAGTGGTCCTTGGTCTGCAGTTTCACCGTTCTCTTCATCTTCAACCCGCTTGTCATAACAATCGGCTTGGGTCCAGTCTTCTACTTCTTCGCGGTCGCCTGCTTCCTTTCCGCAATATTCTGTATCTTCTTCTTACCCGAAACGAAGGGTCTTACTGTAGACGTTATTCAGACCATATTCGCAAAGAGTAAAGTTTGAATACGTTATATGGTCGATACAGAAAACACAATTAACATCAATTTTATTTACAATGGTTGAGTAGGCAATGGCCTATGGGCCCTGGGTCACTTCAGGGCCCCAGGCCCTTTTGTACGTAATGTAGGAAATGGAAAAAGGGAGGCTTGATTTTTATAAATTATTTGTTAGATAAAGATCATATAGTTTATAAATATTATTTGTAGAATGTAGTTTAATATATTGTATTAAATTGTTATTACGTGTCACATTGTTTGTCCGCGATGAACTCCTAAACTACTGAACTGATTTCAATGAAATTTTGCACACTGTGAGCAGTTTGGTCCAACTTGAGGGTTAGGATAGTTTTTATCCCGATACGTGACCCTCAATATTTTTTATTGCGATTTGAAAGATTTTTTTTTATTGGAGAAAGGATCATCTCAGAAAAGGACAGAACAACGTCTGCCTGGTCAGCTAGCATATTATATTAAATTGTTACTTGCTTTAATTAACTAGAAATATCAAATTATTTCATTTTTATTTTTATATCAATCTTAATTTTTGACAGATGATAATCATTTGTATAACTTTAATGAACATTGCGTATGCATAATGGGTTAATATATACAGAACATATTTTTTTTATAGGATAGGGTGACAAACGAGCACACAATCCACCTGATGGTAAGTGGTTACTGTGACCCATAGACATCTACATCTATCCGCAATAAAGACTCAAGATGCAGATGCGTTGTCACCCGTGAGGACTAAGATGGAATGCCTCTTTGCCAGTAAAAAGGGTCTCCGGTTCTCTACACTCACCATACGAAACACAGCAGCGTTAAGCTGCTATTTTACGCTGGTTTTCTGTGAGAGCGTGGTCCTTCCCCGGTCGAGCCGACCCATTCGTGCTACAACTATACTACTAATATAGCTGCAGCATGGCTCTACCACGGAAGAAAATAAAACTAAATGCAGCTCAGAATGACCACTTCCGTCAATCCAACTTACCTAACTCCGCTCTGATTTCAATAGACACTTCCTTTCAAAGTTCTTCATTTGCTTTAAGCGGAGGGACATAATACGTGCGTATTACATTTTAATTCGTACACACATACAAGCCACCGCATAAACGTGGTGGTACACAACCTCTAAGCATGTGTGATGGTACACAACCTCTAAGCATTTTATGACGCGTCTGTTTTATACATTTTATCGAGTAAAGCGAGGGTGTAGTTTATACTCGTTCAATTGAAAATATAAATCTGCTAGCAACCCACCCAGGATTTACCTGAAAAGGGTATTTTAATGTGGTGTTTTTTAGTTTTAAGATAATCATAGACCATTAAATGAAACTAATTTTACAGATTTCATCGAGTTTATTTTTCATTTTTTAAAATTTGTTCATTTATTGTGTAGTATTCGCGTAAATATAAGAAATCATTATAATCAAAGACCATTAATTTCATCATTTTTTTTAAAATATTGCCTTATATCTCCAGCATTGCTCTTTAACTGTTCGTGAAGTTTCATCACAACCGGTTCAGCCATTCCGAATATAGCCCGGACAGACAGAGAAAAATTTAGAAATGTTTATTTATGTAATATTAGCTTGCAAATAATATGAGCTTAAAAGAAGTCAGTTATTTCAATATCACAGACAGACACAATTTTCTTTATATATATATATATCTATATATATATATATATATATATATATCTATTATATATATATATATATAATAGATAAAATAATGTAGTTTATGACAAGCATTGGAGATTAAATATAATTTACTTAGTTTAGTTTTAAAGGCTTGACCAAACGCTTAATTTTAAGTTATTCATCGCTAAGCTACGTGACAATAGTGAGCATTTTAATATTTAAAATATGGCCACAGAAGGTCGCGATCCAAAGCAGACCTGAAATTCATTTCATCTCGTCTGATTTATTAGCGTAACTTTACCTTATTGTACAAAAATATTTTACCCCTTGGTCTAATGGTTGTTATGAAGTCCCGGGTTCAAATTCCGGCATGCGTCTAGTAATCCTGTTCCGTTGAAATTGGCCGCCTTGACTGAAATTCGGTCTGGAGGATATTAATATTATTATTTCATTTGATTTCTTCAGCCACTCATTATAATTTAACACCATAAAAAATATTTTCTAAATGGAGGATTGAAGATTTTATCGCGTATATTAACTTATTTTATATTCCCCGACGTTTCGAGTATTTTAAAGCACCCATAGTCACGGGGGGACTGAGGTGTTTGACTTTCCAATGTCATAGTTAACCATGGCTACCTCCAGATTAAAAAGGACTGAATTAAATGATGAAAAAGGAGTGAATTACGTCAGGACACAATAAGTGCGGGTAAAGGGATGCGCCTATCAATACGTCAATTTTATTAGGCACACCGTAACATTCATCAGCGAGCCTTATGTCATTAAATTGTGCTAAGACTGATTTGTCTACCACAGCGGTGGGCATACGATTGGTGATTTCATCAACAACGAGCGTTGAAATATTAAAGTTAATATTAGAGTTGAAACGTGAAAAAATTTCAATATTGATTAATTTTGATTTAACGATTTTTTCTACTCCACCGAATCCTTTTACTACAGTACATTCGGTTTCGTGTTGTTGGACGCCTAAACGATGACAGCATTCCTTAGTTATAAAATGGCTTTGAGACGCGGAGTCTAATAATACGCGAATTAATTGTTTCTCTCCCTTAGCTTCGTGTGCAAAGACTTGTGCGGTTGATAATAAAACAGTCTTCTGCGAACGACTTGCGCGCGCGGGGGGTGGTGAATGTTGGGAAACATTCTTGAACGAAGTACACAGAGCGACGTCCGAACGCGCACCCGAGGTGAGAGGTGGCGAGTATGTGGGCGCTGTGTGCGCGGGAGCTGCAGCCTTAAGCACAGCTTGCTGAGGCTGAGGCGGAGGCAGCGCAGTGGAAGAATTATCGCTTCCACGCTGGAAGTGCAACAATGTATGATGCTTAAATTTACAAACTCGACAACTAAAGCTTGAAGAGCAATAAGATACTCGATGGCTTAAGCTGAGAGAATTCACACATGCATTGTTACTCTTCACGCATTACACCGTTCGAGCGATGTCATTTTATTAAAGTCTGCACACTTAAATAAGTGCTGGTGCACAATATTATCACACAGGCACTTCTTTGAACGACTAGTCGTCATACTTACGTATGCCTGATACTTCGGCGACGAAATATTATTACAGCGACGATTATTATCATTACCTCGTCGACCATTTGATGGACTACTAGAGTTTGTACTAGAATCAGTGCGTTGCAGAACTTTAGAGCAGGTTTTAATAAAGTTTACTAAATCATCAAAGGTAGGTATTATCGAGCTATGATTATATTCGAAAGATCGAATGGTATGGTATCGAGCTTCTTTAGCGCGATATGCAAAACAATTAGGTCCGCAAGATTATGCAACTTTAAGTTTTGCAAAGCGTGCTCTGCACTTATAAAGTTATCAGTAAATAAATCAAAGTTGTTTGCTGTGGACGATTGCAATGGCTTAAACTCGAACATCTGATTTATATACGCGGAGGCTAGCATACGCTTGTCTTCGTATTTATCAATGAGTGCTTGCAATAAAGTTTTATAATTTTCAGCGCATGGAGTTATACCTGAGCACACAGACAGAGTCTTGCCCGTCAGTTTACCTAGCAGATAGTATAACTTTTCAGCGTCAGTGAGTGATGGGTTGTCATGGACGGTTGATTTAAAGCTGGCATAAAGTAAAGGCCATGAGCGAATGTCACCCGAAAATACCATAAGTTCGATAGGCGGAAGTGTAAGCCTAGCCTTAGATGGGGCACTAGTATTTTGTAAAGTAGTAGACTGCGAATATTGTAAATAAAGCCGATTTATTCTACCGTAAAGAGACTCAAACGTAATAAGGCTGTTATAGTCAGGCTTAGCGATAGGATTATTTTTAATAAATGCGAATTATAGTTATCTACGGTCTGTTTAAATTCAATACGTAATTCATTTATATTAGAACTCTCGTCGAGAAAACGTTCCATCATAGAAGTGTTCGTATGGATATTCGAAGACATATCATATTTTTTTTGCACTATTTCAAATATAGCATCGCGTTTAGCTAACAATAAAATCAACTCGGCGTCAGGTGTACCGTCGTTATCCGAAGAATCACTATTATTCGACGCAATTTGTTTCTTAGGCGGCATTGTGGCTAAAGTTATACGGCAAAATATAACTGTAAGTGAGCAAAACGTAATCTATAATAAAATATGCGACTTCCCTACGAGATAGTTTTATTAATGATGAACTTTAGAATGTTAATTTCAATAGGAAATTATGTAGATATTAATAACGAATATAAGACTTAAATAATTAGTAAATAATATAAATAAGTGAAGTAATTTAACATTATAGTCTATAATTGTAATACGAAGTTGATGACGTAATGTCATTCAACAAAAGGGATTAAAATATAGAAAAATATTCTGCAATTATAGTTTTATAATAAGTATATATTGATGTCACTTATTAGGGCCGATTGTACTACTCTAATAAGGGTGGAAGGTCAATACAAGGTCGAGTGACGACGCACTGTCACGCAACACGAAAGGTTGAAATAGATATTAATCTACAATTATAGTTTTCTAATGAATATTGTTGACGCTTAATAGAATCTATTTTAGTATTCTAATAAGGGCGTGAGATCAATAAATGTGGATAGGCTCAACGTGGCCAAAAAAAAATGTGGTCTATAATTATGATTACTGATGGCACTTATTAGGCCATATTTAGCACCCTAACAAGGGCGGAAGGTCAATCCAGCGAGAAGGATCAGTAAAGTGGACGCGCCAGTAACGTGAGTTCTTCGATAAACATTTGTAGACTGTATTGGTACATACAACAAGCGGAGCAAGGAAAATTGATGAGAGTGGAATGCACGCACTTACCTTGTGAGGGACTGCCTCACCTTCCTCCCGGAGTATCAGCTAACATAG